TTAAGGCAGTGTTATAAAGTTAAATTATTTATAAAAATTTGAGGCTTATTTTACGTTTTTAAAAATATGTATTAAGAATTTTCAATTACTTATTAAAGTAAAATAGAAAATTGAATTAGAACTTAGAAATAATGCATCTTAGCTGGACAACTCAAAAATGTACATACAAAGAAAAACAAACAGCTAGGATTTATGAATAAATGTAATGCTGCCCGCATAAATCTAATTTTTAAACAGTTTTTATTTCTTCAGAGAATCCTAATAAATTTATTACAATAAGGAAGTAAGTGGATTAATAAAATTTTAATATAATATGTATATAGTTTGCAATTTTTATAAAGTGTTTTTGGTATTTTAGTAAATATAAATATTTTGATGAATAGCATTACGAATTATAAAATAATAAACAATAGGAAAAGAAAAGGTTTTGAAAATATTTAATTGTTTTTCAAAATTGAGTCATCACTTTTTTTACGAATTCTTATATAGTTAAAGAAAATTTAAATGACGACATTAACCTTAACTAACGTTTCTCAACACATGTATATTTGTATTGACGAACAATATTACTTCATTTTTACAATCACTAATTGTAAGCAGCATTTGTGGAAGCTTAACAATATGTACGATTTTATTGATGAATAACAGTATGCGTTAGTTAAATTACATTATTATGTAACATCTATACAATAACAGATGAATTTGAAGAGATATTTTTGAAGGATTAAAATAATTAGGTGATATTTTCGAATGACTAAAAGAATATAACGCTTATAAAATGGCTTATAGTATAGTCTGTAACACTTAAGGACGACTTACATCATCATGAAATATTTGCGAGTGGCTAGCAGCATCATGTAACATGTAACACTGTAAAATAACAGTATTACAAAATATTTGTCAATTACGAGTAAAATTATGTCCCTTTTTAAAAGGACTAACAAAAGGTAAAATTTGAAAAATTGCGTACATTATTGAGTATTATTTTTGATTACTTACTGCATCCTGCAACAATTATAAATAGCATGAAATCTTTGTAATTAACTAACTAGTTATAGTTAGCTAATTTTTTAATATCAAATTAACTAACAATAATGTATATTATTTGTTATAACCAAAAAAATATTAATATTATTTTATTTATAACTTAAAAATCGAATTATTTGTTTGAACCTTGTTACTAATAATACAAGGTGCACTTGTTAACTGCCTACTGGCATAAAAGTACAAGAAGAAAGTGACTTGTTTAATTCCAGTAACCATACATTATGTAATTTATGGGAACAAAATCGAACAGATTTTCTAATGCATAAGTACTGTACTTAGGAGTTTGATTTCTTACGCAAATAAATCCAAAAAGTAAATGAAAATTTGATTTGTTTGGTTGAATCTTGTGATAAACAATACATGGTACTCTTATCAACTATCTTCCGGCATAAAAGTACAGGAAGAAAATGACTTGATTGATTCCAGTAATAATATATTATGCAATTTATAAGAACTCCATCGAATAGATTTTCTAATACGTCAATAACTTACAGAAGTATTGATATTTATAAGTTTGATTCCTTAGGCGAATCAATCTCAAAAATATATAAAAATTTTACTCAATTCTTCTTTATCATGTACAGACAGATCAACCCAAGAAATGTTGGCCATTTTTATGTAAGATGTTTACTGATTTATATTGACAGATACATTCATTCTTGGCGCCATAAAATAGCATTTTTTTTCTTGCTGTCCATTTCAAAAATTGCTTCGCAATATTTTTATAAATGTATTCCATTTCGAAGGATCAGGATCTTTTTTTACAAGTACTTCTAGTGTAGGTTTAAGTGTGAAATGATATTGTGTAGACTTAAAATGAAATGTATCTTTTATTGACACGGAAAATTTTTTGTACATTTTGTGTTAGATATGTTCATATTCTTAAGACATATTTTTCATTTGATTTATTGTGCGTTTTAAGAAAATAGTAATACTTAATTTTTATTTTCTTGCCAAAATATTGCATGTGTTTAAGGCATTATAACTATTATGTTTTTAGACCAACTTTATTATTTTGTTACGTTTTAAGAAAAAAATTCGATTCATTTATAATTTGTTTATTGGTGAAAATTAAAGGCAGGCTCTGTTCAATACTGACTAAATAGCTAATATTAAAACATTGATTACGAAATTGTAAATAGTTAGCCTTTTGTCCGGAACCTGGTTGTCGCTTTAATTAATGTTATAGTTAAATTATTTAATAATTAGTATTATATACAATAAATATTAATCGAAATTTTGCAGTTGTTTAATACAATGTTGCTATGAAATTGGTTTGATGATGGTCTTTCGGTTTCATACCATTATAAAATTAATTATTCGAAGCAAGGAAAATTTAATAATTATGCTATGAATATTACATAGTCAAAATTTTATTAACTTAATTCACTTAAACATTCAGTAGAGTAATTCTATGATCTTAAAATATTATGAATAAAAGGTGCTTTGAATTTTAATTACCTCCTACACGTGCTTCAAAAATAGCTGTTTGTTTTGATTCTTTTGCATATAAATTGAATTTTGTCCATAGATGAAGTGAAGAGAGGGGGGAGGCAGGAGAACATATAAAATTTTAATACTATTTTAATACGTTCAAACTTGTTTAGCAACCAAACAAGAATTTTTTTTTCGCGTTCTAAAATGAAGACACACACTGAGGAGAAAAATTATTAAAATTACCAGAATATAATAAAATATAATATGTTTCAGGTTTTCTTGGTAATACTAAAAAACTCGTTAATGTTTACAAAAGGTTTTATAGTATTATAATGCATGATTATATGATAAAATTATGTAAAATTTAATAATATCATCTTGATATCATAGGACATGGCATTAAAACCATTTATTCGGTTAAATTTACTTTTCAGTTTTGCATATTTTGCTAAATATGTTGATGCAAGAAGTACAATTATAAAATTCAGAATTTCCGGCCAACTGTTACCATCTAGAGGAAGAAATTACCAAATGGATGATTTGAATACTGCATATTTCAGCATTATTAACTAGAGTTTTGTTCTATTTCTTGCCAGAAATTTCTTTGATATACAGTATTCTGTTAAATCTACAGTATGGTAATTTTACCAGAATTTTTTCTTTGTGTAGTTTAAAGGGGAAAATGAGTTTCAGGCAGTATTTTAAAGTAGTTTTTTGACTCATTTTATATTTTTTTGTATACATTTATTATAAATTATGATTTTGAAACATTATGATTTTTTTAAAAGTTCAGAGATAGATAAATTGCATTGAAAGCCATTTAGAAGTAATGGATAATTGAATTTTTGTTTTCAATATACATTCTTTCCTTGAAATTAGAAATATATTTTTACCTTTCAAAAAAATGTCAAAAAATAAAACTTTTTGCCATTCTTTTTAATGTAAATGAAAAATAAGAAGAACTAGTGCTCTGCAGTAAGTTCTGTATTCAGAGAAGAATTTTGAATATTTGCCGATACATTTAATATTTTTTAAATGCAGAAAATAACACATTCTTTTATTTAGGCATCTACAATGCCTTTTTCTTGTGTATTTTGTGAAAAATTATTATCCGAAGAGAAAAAAAAATCTGCCTACCCCCTCCCAAAATATACTTTTTCTTTAGTCTGTTTCTGACAAATAAAAAATAAATCAAAACTATGTATATATATATATATATATATATACAGTCAATTCGCTATAACTCGAAGTACGATAACTCGAATATTACTATAACTCGATTTTTTTATGAGGTCCCGACCCTTTTATCTTCAATTTCATGTTAATTATTCTCGATTACTCGAATTTTACTCCCTTTAACTCGATTTTTTTTGNACACCAAGCGACTACGTGAATGTCGACATTCTCCTGATTCCGGTGTTTCACCGTAATATATATATATATACATATATATATGTTACGGTGAAACACGTATATACTTTTTTTAACTTTCTTAGTGTTTACTTGTATTTATTTATTTATTATATATATATATATATATATATATATATAGTTCAAAGTGTAGAGAAAACAAGGGAAAAATTACAGAACAATGAAAAAAGGGAAAAAAAAGAAAAATAGCAATAAAAAAAGCATAAAACCGGAAAAAAAAACAAAAACATTTTTTAAAAAATTCGGAAAATAAAATATATAATCTTTTCATCAGCTCACACGATTATATCCGCAAAAAAGAAAGCTTTCTAATATTGCATCAATATAGCCAACGCAAAATATATTAATAAAATAGTGTGAGAAGCACTCAAAAAACTTTTACAAAAAAATTACAACAAATAAATTAGAACGCAATAAGTAGACATATATCACGTAAAAACAGAAAATAAAATATAAAGAAAAAACAGAATAAAACAGAATAAAAATTGTTTTTCTTTCTTATCATGGTAACTTAGAGCAAGGCATAAAATCTATTTATTTGGTTAAATTTACTTTTCGATTTTGTACTTTTTTTGAAGTGTGATAATAAAAACTATAATTTTTAAAAACAGAATGTCCGTTAAACCGTTTAATATGATTGGAAAAATATTACCAACTGAATGGCTCAAAGTTCAAAATGTAGAAAAAACAAGGCAAAAATTACAGAACAATGAAAACAGAGGGAAAAAAAGAAAAGTAACAATAAAAAAAAAGCAATAACAATAAAAAAAACGGTTGTACAATATTTTGTTTGTTTCTATTGGCATGCGTTTTGGATTTTTCGTTTGTTTTCCTTAGCAAAAGGAAAAAAATATATAATTTAATATAGCCTAAAATTTTGCAGCCATCAGAAGTAGTATTTATTTATTTTCAAGAAAAAATACTTCTTTATACATCTGTCGCAAGAAATTATGACTTACATATGAACTACCAAATGTTTTTTTTCTTTTTGAAATAAAATATTATATTTTGTTTATATTCTGTGAATTTTATATTAAATTAGAAAAATAACAAACAACCGATATCCTTCCTGCGTTCTAGAAAAGGAAGGAAGATCATGATAAGATTCTATTCACATATATATTACGAAAAGTTTGTCTTAAATTGTCAGGATTTTCATCTCTAAAGCGGTTACCGGAATTCCGAACCGCAGCAGTATGAGATTATTCGTAAGTAAATAATATTTCTTTTTGTCTTAATTTTTAAATAAAAATTGCGTAAAATATTTTGAGATAAACTAAAAGATTTATTTCAGTGTTTTAGTAAGGATTTTAGTATTTTTTAATAAAATAGTTTTTAGTATTTTTTAATTAAAATCTCGTACACCTTGCTATTTATTATCATAAAAAGTTTATGAAGCAAATAGAAAATACTGCTTACGTGGTTTTCTTTCATAAAGTCATAAGGAAGTTGTTGTCCAACAAGAATTTCGCTTAAACTTTTCCTCCTTTTCATAATTTGAATTGAACTGAACTTAATTTTTATTTTGTAGCCTAAAATGCATGTTTTTCAAAGTATGTATGTTCACTATTATAAATCTAATTCAAAAAAATTAATAAATGATTTATTCACATTACGTGAGATGATTTAGCATACTGATTTAGTGCTATGATATAATAAATTATATGTTTCCAAAATGGGAAAAAAAATACTAGAAGTTAATTACGTGAACATTGTTCAAATTACATGAATGAATTGAGCCGAATCTCTCCGGGATTCTGAATATATTTTTGGGTGCCCTTACCTAACTCGTGCCATTTGTTCTTCAATTTGATAAAGGCTTTTAAGCCGTACTATGTGATGAGTACCCATGCCTGCATATGTATGAGCTATAATAAATAAATTAAGAACATTTTTCAAATTGCTCAAAGGAGTATTTTTTACGAAAAACGCTGAGCATCTTGAAAAATACACCAAGCTTTTTGTTCGTACTAATCATAAGAAATAGGTGAAAATTACAAAAAAATATTTCAAAATAGAATAGATTGTTGCTAATATGTGTGTATTGAGATAGTCGTTTTATGGTCCACATGGGAATTCTTTACCGAGAATGCTATAAAACGCTATTTACCTTTGATATAAATAGATATTTATTTTTGATGAAAATGTAACTGTAAAAAATTTATAAAATATAAAGTAACTTCTTTAATTATTTGTTTGTAAAAAAAACGAGACGACTGCTTTTAACATATTTTAATACTATTTTTGTATTTAACAATTTTTATTTCGAAACATAATTAAAATTTAAAGTGAAATTCTTCCTGAGAAAGCAAAATAAAATGCAACGTAAGCAGATTTTGGTGAAAAAAAAGTTATATCTTTTACGAACCTAACATTGATACGTAATTCTTACTCGAAAGTGGTATTGCTAACAAGTTCAAACACTTACTGAATATCTATTTTCGTTTGTAACTACCATGAACGAATTATTCCTGATGAAGATAAACTGCGACGGCAACACATTTTGCAGACTATCAAGTGAGATTCCAAATCATAGAAAGAAATATTTGTCAATTAGTAAGTCATCCTTCATTCATTCACTGTGAATATTTCAACCATAAAAGTATAACGCTTAAGTACAATCCACCATGAAGTCATCATCATGTATTTTTAATAGCTTCTTTTCTCTCTATTCCATACACCACTGCACAGATATTAGGCACACACATAGTTAGTTCAACCACAGTTATTACCCCAGTACAACTCTCTAGTAACACTGATGGGAAACGATTAGTTCCTGGCTCGTATTTGAAGCGCAGTTAAATTCACAGCTCATTTGTTTAAAAGTGTTTATTTTCTTTAAATTTGCTCTGTGTCAAAAGGAGAAAAAGAAAAATCTATATTAATATTTAATAGAAAAACGTTTCATGTAGTAATTATAAAAAATAACACTTACCCATAAATGTATTCTTCTGATAGTTAAAAGAGTTAATGGTGCAGGGCAAGATATAAATGTGTATTATGTGCAACATAGATATAAGTTTACGAACAAAAAATGATTTAGTGAAATTAAAATATTTTAATCAAATTACTTTAAATACTAAAAAATCCTAATAATTAGTATTCCGAATATTTAGTTATTAGTCATTAAAAGAACAAAAACATCCACGCATTTTATGGAATAAAAATACTAAAAAAAAACGGCTAAAGAGAGTATTTCAAATTCTATAAGAAAAATAAATGAAAACGAGCAACTCATTTTCCAACTAGTAAGAAAGCTTGATATAACGGTGGGGCTCTGAAAACGATATGCAATTGTTGTCGTTTTCATTTTTTTGAACAGAAATGTTTAGTTTATCTAGATCTTCTGACTTTAGAATAAAAACTTTTTAATACTTTTTGAGAATACAACTTAAGTTTCAAAATAACATTGAAACTAAAATTTAGAGATTTCTACTTTTGAAATATGGATATAACTGCCTAAGCGAAGAATAGTTATTTTTCCCTAATTAAATTTAAAAAATGACTTTACAAATATTTGTGATAAAATAACTATTCTTCTTTTTTTTTAATAAAACCATAAAGTTTGCGAAATAAGTGTATCAAATGGCACAAGTCTACTAACGAAAAGAATTATTTCACGAAAGTAATTGTTGCGCGATTTTTTAAAAATAATATTTTTCATTATTTCATTAACGAAACAATTTAAATTATAATATTGTTGATAGTTAAAATATCCCATGTATCACTCACAATTCGAGCTGATTTTTAATACAAAGAGAATTTAAAGTAAGTCTTAAAATACGACAAAAGTTTTGTCTTATTTTCTTCGGTTTTGGAAGCATAAGTATTTGAAAAAAGAAGTTTGGATGAAAAAAATTTGAATAGAATCATCGATTTTTTATCGAATTAGAAACAGAGGCTTGGGATGTAGAACTATTTTACGAATTTTAAAAAACTTATAGATATTTTACCAGTTCTATATAAAGAACTAGTTCATTATTCAAAACTATTCTAAAGAAATTTGAAAAACAAATAATCAAAACAATAAATTATCGTCGAAACAACTGGTGCTCTTCATTTTCCAATAGTTGAAATAGAAATTAATCATGTAAATCTAGTACTCTGAATGATACTTTTCAGCAAAACAAAAAAATTTTATATTTCAAAATTAAAACTGAGTCTCTGAGATAAACGTTTTTGTAAATTTACCGCTTTGTATGGTAATGAGATTTCCGGTAAAAAAAATCCAAAACATCGTCGATATTTAAACCATTCATTTGTTAATTTTTACGGAGACGTTTTTCAGGAAATTTTGATTTCAACATTATAGTTCTTATGAAGTAAAAAGTACAAAACTGAAAAATAAATTTTACCTAATAAATAGTTTTTATTCCATGTTCTAAGGTATAATGACAAAATTACCAAAGTTTATTACTTATTATAATACCCTATTTTATGGTTTATTTTACCAAAATTATTTGCAAGGCCCTTAAGTAAAAACATTGAGTTTTTGGGAGCTCCCATAGAGCTAGAAACGTGACAAATTTTATCAAATTCTGATAATTTTGACCACACTTTTTTGGCAGTGTTTATTTACGCATGTCTAAAAACTGGAAAACGTTTATGATTACGTTTCTGTCTTATTTTGAAAAAAAAAAGGTTTTTTCTTCCTCTTGAGAGCAGGTAAAATAGTGAACTGTTTTTTTTGAAGTGCGGCAAAGGATTTTAGGTAACCACTTTCATCTAAATGGTTTTAGAGCCACGGTACGGTAAAAAGTTTACCTACTACTTCACTGACAAATTCATCGTTTTTTTATTTCTTTGAATTGAATTCATGTAGTTTGCTTCTTTCAGATATTTCTTTCAGTTCAGTCCCATAAAATTCTTAGATTTTAACTCTTTAACGATGTTGCCTGTCGATAAATCTAAAAATAAATTTTTTGAAGTAAATTATGATTTATTATAAGTCTTTAAATTGTTCACTATTTTTTTTAAATCTTAGATCTATTCTTAGATCTTAGATCTGTTTACTAAAATTCACATATATATTAATAGCATACAATATTTATAATTTTAAACTAATAGAAAAATAAATACGAGAAAGCATTGTTATTGTAGATTTTTCTTTTCTCTGTTTATTGTAGTATTTATCACATGACAGAACAAAAAACAGGAGTAATAAAACGGAATAAAATATGATATATAAATAAAATGAATGATAGAATGAATGAATATGATATATAATTATGATATATAAATAGAAACATGTCGGAAAACATTTTAAAAATGATTTATAAACTGTAAGAAAAATATTTAGAATTGATTAGAGAATTTTACGTTTCTACTTAAGGGCACTCTATGAAAAAAATTTCAAAACTCATCTTTTACGGATAATTTTTATTCAAATTTCGTAAAATACTCAACCTAGAAGTCTCAAAGAAGCATTGTTCGGCCATGCTACAAATTTTATCGTTACTAAATTGAAAACCATCTGGTATCAGCAATTTAAATCTACTCTATCAAATAACTGTTTCATTTTCGGGTTGCTAGAGGGCTCAAGTGTCACGTTTGGATACTGAAAACGATCCACAGTGACGTAATCATAATACTTTTTATAAAGTTTCTTTTCCCCAAACGCGCAGAACGATCCTCTTCAATATTAGAAAGAAACGATTAGTTTTATAGATTTGACAATTTGCAATCTATAATTTAACATCTCGGTCTTATTTTTATGTATTTCAGTGCGATTAAGTGACATGAACGAATAATTCTTCTCCGTGGTTTATAGTTACTGTTTTGTTTTCTTCTTTATAAAATTTATTAAATCGAGACAGATTGCTTGAATTTCTGTAAGGGTTTTTCAGAATCATTTTTATGTCAAGTCTTTGCATGGAAGCATACAATTTTATTTCCTAACCAATTCGGAATCTTTTATTTTTAGATTTTATTTATATTATTCGTAAGAAGTGTTCCTATCATATATTTATTTATGCATTCTATTCATTCTCTCATATGTTAAATTCTAATCTAAGCAGATAAAAGAAAAATCTAGATTAGTAATTTTTCGAATAACATTTTGTAGGAATAATAAGCAATAACGCTTTTCCGTATTTACTCTTTTATCAGTTTAAATTATTAACCGTTCCTGGCATCCATATAATTATGCATTTCATTCAATTTTGAAAAAAAAATATTAACACAGACAAAGGTGAGAAATTAAAATATT